CAGTTCAGTTTTGCGTCATGCTCCACACTTCACAGTTCAGTTTTGCGTCATGCTCCACACTTCACAGTTCAGTTTTGCGTCATGCTCCACACTTCACAGTTCAGTTTTGCGTCATGCTCCACACTTCACAGTTCAGTTTTGCGTCATGCATGCCTATAAGCCGACACAGTATCAGTACCTTGCAACGTCTGAATTTTAATCCCCAATTACCGCGAGCTATTTTAAGCAAAACGATTTAGTTTTTGTGCGTTCTCGTGTTACAAATTAAAAAATAATATTTCATGGGTTTGATCATTTCAACACAAGCCATATGGAGCACAATTAACTCAATCGCTTGTTTGTTTACTTTATTATTTTAATGATTTTTAACTGCATATTTTGTACTGGGCGTATTCAAAGGTTACACAAATGTTACGTCTGGAAACATTCGCCACAAACCAAACTAGGGGGTAGGTAACCAAATGTACCAATGATTGATAGGATTTTTTAACCCTCATAGTCAGTCGTTAATAAGGAAGTTTAATAACTTGATTTCTTTTTTTATTTTTGCAAGGCTTCTTTTATTATGGGTGGACCATTATATACCCTGGGACGGGGGTGGAGGGGGTGAGAGATAAAAAAAAAATTCATGCATGGAGTTCAACTAGAAAGAAATTTGTGCAAGCACTTGGGGAAAGTGTATCTTTTCATATTATTTTCATACCAAGGCGAGATCTTGTAAACTTGTCGAAACGTTTTCTCGCTAACCGGGATAACTTTAGCCCATATGAACAGGCCCTTATAACTTGTGGTTGGAGATCCCGCGCCGATTCCCGCCATTCTGGTAGCACTGTAGTGCAGTGAACTTAGTGTTTGTTGAAAGTCAAAGGACATTTACCAAAATGTTTAAATATCTATTGTTGTTTATTGTCTTCATTTGTATTATATGTATGTATATAGTTTTCTTTTCAATATTTTCACGCCCCCCTTGGAAATCAGCTGTTGTTGAAGGGGTGAGCGTGAATAAATATAGTTTTAATAAATTCATAAAGAATACTCGCATCGCCGTTTCTCCCCTTCCCATAATTCCTCGCGCTTCCCCTTCATTAACATTTCACGCTTCGTAAATAAATTTTAAAATGTAAATTTGGGGATGAGGCAGGCTCTGGGGACGAGGCAGGCTGTTCTCTTTCAATAAAAGTATAATACTTACTCAGATATGCGTCAGGTCCGGAGGCTTAAAATTATTATTTGCACATTTAATTTTTTGCACATTTAATTTTTGGAGGAAACTATCACAGTGACTAGAGTATAGACAATAGCAGTGAAAACCAAATGGTTCAATATTTTCTACAAATATGGTGTATTTAATATTATAATAAATATTATAATTTGGACAAATCTGATCAGGAATATAGATGAAATTGAAGTTAGGAGATTCATTTATGAACTGTTAACTTGTGTCGATAATGAACTACCTGAAAACCCATGCAAATATTCAATTACTGTTTTTATAAGGGTATAAAAGAGAACTTCGGAGTTTCGAGCAAAGGTCCTTCATCTGGTTATAGCATGTTTTTCAGACCCATGCAGGGTCGTTCCTAGACGCGATAATTGGGTGGGGGAGGGCATATTCATATATTTGTGTTCTGCCAGACGGGTTTCTTTTGAAAGCAATTGTTTTTACGAAATGTGAACATGAATATATGAATATATTATACCTCAAATTCAAATTGTCCAATCAGGAAGCTTAGTTTGTGCCATGTGAGCATGAAATTAATCGCGATATCACGCCTTACGTCATCAATTAGCGAGCCTGCGTTCCTTATGACAATGTTCCACCCCATGTTCCCCGGGGAACATGGGGTGGAACATTATTCGCGTAGACCGCGCGAGACAACACGCATGACAAAAACATGGCCGACAAAATATAAATAGTATTGATGAGTGATGAATAATCAAATTTTAAACATAAAACCTGGGGCTTTTTCAAAATTTTAAAGCAAATTTTGAAAAATGTTGTCATTAATATTCCAAACGATATGTGATTCGAAAGAAAATCGACGAATACTTGCGTTAATCCGAAAATAAAACGTCGTATTCACGAAGGTATGTGTCAAGTTTTTAATTCTCAACTTGGAGGCTTTTAATTTTCGGTATAATATATCATTTATAGACCCTCCGCTCGGGGGATTCGGCGAAATATTACCCTCAGTGATGATATTTCCCTCGGGGCAAAGCCCCTCGGGAAATATCATCACTTTGGGTAATATTTCGCTGAATCCCCCTCCCTTCAGGTCTATAAATGATAAATACACCCCCCTCCCAATTATCACGTCTAGTTATGGCCCTGCACCCATGCTACCATATGACGGGCCTTAGCTCAAAATGTATTTATATTTTCCAGGTAGTTGTGTCATGTAGACAAGCTCACAGTTTATATTCTCTGCTACCTACACTGGCACTGAACATTTGTGAGGACGGCATGTGCCTACTTTTACAGGCTAGCTTGGAACAGTATATATAACTGGCTTGCCTGCCTTACATTGTCACACATAAAAATATATAAATAACTGACTTTATTCTTGTTCTGTAGTAATCATCATGTCCAATGGATCTTTATCTTTTTTACTTTTCTCATTTGACTTTGGAGGTTTGTGTGGCTGAACAAATATCTAAAAGAAATAATGTATTAACTCTTTGCACCCTACTCCACCATACTTGCTTATTTTACTCTCTCTCATACCAGGCCATTTTTCTTGTCATGGGGAGTGAAGTGTATTTGCTACATGTACCTTTCCTGAAATGTTCAAATTTGTGCCCCACCCAATGCAAAAATAATACACACCTCAGTATCATGAATTTCATGGTGAGAAACGTTCATTGTTTCACCGATGCTTGCTTCATCTTTGAAAACAACAAAACCAAAACGTTTTGATCTGCCTGTATTCCGATCCTATCAACAAATTGTGTACATACAATAAGTTAATTAAAAGTTTATTGAAAAAACAAAATATTATGAATGCATACCAGGTGATCTCGTGTTCGTATTTTAGCCAATCAGCGCTCAGAAAGGGTTGTCCGAATAGAAATCCATTTTGATGTATTCAGTCAATTATATCTTTCGTTATTCTTTATGAAACTAGTTGAAATTTTGTAGTTATGTTTGGTTATGAGAACTATAGCTCTGACGAAAATATGGAATCGAAATAATGTATATTACAGGAGATATTCAGTTGTTTTAATCATAAAATGGATTTCTATTTGACAACTAGTGCCAGTACTTTTCCGCGTATCAAGATCACCTGGTAAGGAAGGGTCAATGCTTCTGCCAAAAAATGACAATATGACATCTTTTACAAAACCACCTGCCTCCCAACCTCGTTCCCAGGCTCTTACCTTCGCACGCTCCAAGCTGCAGAAAGAAAAGCTTGGGGCGTGTGAAGCTAAGAGCCTGGGAACGCGGTTGCCTGCCTCCCTGCCAAAGGCGTCGGGCCTTAAAATAGTTTTCTTAAAGATAATTTTAATAACATCAAATTCTGTAGTTTTTAAAGTACATGTACTGTTAGCATACACATTTCTCATAAAAAACTGGGAGATGGGGGGGTGCCTTCATCTTAAATTTTCCTGCAGGGTGGCTTGTTTTTAATAGTGACATTCAAGAGGAAAAAAGCAATATCCTAAAGGGGTTAGTAAGATATCGTATGGGGTAACTTCCACAAATTGCATCCAAGGGGGTTCAAGAATTTTTATATCCTACAGGGATTTATATTAAATGGAATGGCCCATTTGACCTTTCCTAATTTTTCAACAGATATTGGGCACACAATTTCCAAACATTTCAGTCAAGAATACATTGGTATAAATATATAATTTATAACTATTCCAACTTTTAATCAGCTTAGGAGAAAGAAGAAAAGTAATTTATAAAATATATGAAAATACATACGAACAATACTTGCGACCGCTCCACCGCACCAAACTGACTAAAATATTCCCGCAATGCGACTGTAAACATACAGAAAACAACAATTCACATGTTGAATACTTCACAAACGTTCTCTAAACTTAATCTACACACGAATTCTCACCTCTGCATGCAGTCCAGGGCAGGCGAGCAACAAATAATTTTCTAATTTCTTCCGCCATATTGGAAAAAGATTGCACAAGAACTGAAAAATGAAATACTTAATCTTGGAACAGTGAACTGTCTTGGACAAATATGATTACCGTCGTTGGCAGCTAAGAATGACCATTGGCATATAACCGTGACATAACGACGTCCCAGGCATTAAAATACGGAATTTTTACAAGGACACACTTTGCCTGCCTTCAGAGGCGTATTTTTGGTATAAATACGAGAACGAGTGCCGAAGCCACAAGTTTAACGTTGAAAGCGCGAGCTTTTAAGGGGGTCTCTGAAATGGCATTTCCAGAGTTCTGAGAAATCTTTGGCAATTTTGCGTGGATTACATTAATATATTTTCAGTTTAATATATTTTCAAGTACACACTTTTCATTTTACAAGGGCACATTCGCCTTTTACAAGGACACAAAGTGTGTACAAGGACACGCTATTTTAATGCCTGCAACGTCCCGACAAATTTGGTCTTCGCTCGAAACATCGAAGTTCTCCTCAAAGCATTTTTTAATACCATGGACTGGTGGGGCATTTTCCCCACTGGGCCCCTTCCTCTGCCCAACCACTGAGGAAAAAAATGGCCTCTATATTGCCCCAAAGCCAGGGCCCCCCTATTGAGTAAATGATTTAACATTGAAAAGAAGTTTAAAAACAAAATTTGTTGGTGAGTATATACTTAAACTTATGTTGTATTTGAATGTTTAGCATGCAATTTATTACAAATTTCACCATTAAAACTTTGTTTTGAGAAGTTGAGATTCTTTTAAATGCCTTCTCAGAATGCAGAAAATGCTATTTCAGAGACCCAAATTTTAAAAATTTCCTGGGGGCATGCCCGGCCCGGCCCCCTTTGCTATCTCGTGCCTGAGGTACTCGGCTCACACCTTCGGCGATCGCATACTATCCTGGGGGAAGGGCAAGGAAAATCGGCCCTTTGGCAGTTTTGCCCCACCACTGAAGAATCCTTAAAAAATGCACTGGTTCTCCTTGCATTTTTCAGGTAGTTGTATCCCTATCAAACCGCAGCTTTCTTATCATAGTAAGATTATAGGAATATTCCATTGTCTTTTCATTGTTTTGCAAATCGCAATGTTCTCATGCAAACCAGCCACTCCCTGTCAGATGGACATATAGGTTATTCAGAGGCCACTCCAAACTCCAAAGTTGACTGTATTCATCACACTCAGAAAAACAATGTCAACATTTACAACACCATCAGCACTTCAACGATCATATTTCCATTCTATAATACAGTTGTTTTTATGTAATCGGCCAGGGGTTTTGAGTATACAAAATCTAAGATTAGGGGTTTTTAACCAGTACGGAACATTTCTACTCTGAAATTTAGGTAGGGGGTGGTGGTTTAGGTCTGTTCATATGAGCCCACTTACATTGTCGTAGACGAGTTGCGTGCCTTAATTTACACAGTACAACTCAAGTTGTAAGCAGGTTGCATGCGACAGTTTTAGTGTAAATCAGCCTTTAGGATGCAAAAATAACATTTTGTGGATAAGCTATCTCCTAATTGAATACTCGTTTGAATAGTTATTTAGGATACTAAAACCCCTGGTAGACCAATTCAGTTGACATTTCCAAATATCAATTTCTTTTTTGTACATTTGTACCTATTTTTAGTTATTTTCGCCGATTTTGAATGTGTGATTCATCAATGTGTAATTTACGACAATCGAGCTTCTGGCATACTAGACTTTCTTTAGTTAGAATTTCAAAATATCAATTTCTTACTAATTTTGTACATTTTGTCTTTTTGTTGAGATCTGGCCAGTGAAACTGATCTCGATTCAAAATCTGAAGTTTGATTTTGAAAACCATTTTAGACGATTACGTCATATTTTACAACGGTTTTACCCTACCTATCTACTAGAAAACAAAGAACACTCAAAGCCCTCAACTATCGTTTATGACGAGTCCTTTGTTGACTGCCCGTGGGCTCTGGTGGGCCGCCTGTCGGTGATGGTTGCGTGCTACTTGGCGCATTTACAGATAATGAGCTTGAAAGTTTAATTCCAGTCTGCGGCGCACTTCCGCTCAAAGATCTATTCGTCGATGTACTTAAATGCCGCGTGCCTGTCCTAGGAGAGCTCAAGCTAGAGTCTATTCTCCCGCGCGTCGGTCCCAGACTCCCAGGTTCGCGCACACTCGGCACAGCTCCCTGTATAATTTCATCAATAGGTTCCGAACTTCCGCGGCAAAGTGTACCACAGCGTAACCTGAGATGATTCCAGGCCTTTTTCAACGCGGTCGTGAGTCGTGTTACCTGCAGTGCACCGTAGCTGAACGAGTGCAGTTGCTCGTTAGTGTCTGCGTACGAAGTGGTCAGCGGTGACACATAAATAGGGTAGCCAATCGGCTGGTCGCACGAGGAATTAATTATGTTACGCAAGACCTGCTTGGCGTTCTGAATTGATCCTCGCTCTGGATTCCGATTTCTCAGAAATATCAATTCCTGTAATTGACTCGACCAAAAGCCACGCACACATTCCCGATTCACCTTGATGAGAAAAAAATAAATATTGGCGTTAAATTATAATCGATCACAACAGGGTCGCTATGATAATTGCCGCAGTAAAATGGATATCTTTTTATAATAGTGCAGAAATCACGAAAACAAGCGGCAGGGTTGTATATAAAAGTAGTTAAAGCTAGCTATAGTTAGTGAAAATCAATCAGAATCGTGCATCTTCTAGTTTACTATACAATACAACTACTACAAAATATCTAGTAAATTTGATTAACCCAAATAGTGCTATTTCTAGGTTAACAAGAAAATTTTAACCCGAGTGTTTTTAGAGTATATGGCTACTAACTTCAAGACAAAGGACCTTTTCTCGAAAGCATTGAAATTATAAATTCTAACTTTTTTACTTCTTGAGAACGAAAGCATTGTGTTCGTTTATGCTCTATAGTTTCAAACTGGAAGCAATGCCATATTGCTTTGCTGCATGCAGTCAGAGCTTTCTTGCTATAGACCGATTTACACTACACAACTTTTGCCTAAAATTGTTGCATGCAACCTTCTTACAAGGCCAAAAAAAAAAGTATGTGGGTTTCCGGTTTCTTCTTATAAAAACTTAGGTAGGGTAGGTCGGTTTTAACTTTTTTTTTAAACTTTTTTTTAATTTTCCGAATAAGCGGACGCCATTTTGTTTAGTCAGTGCTTCCACATCCAAAGATAAATTTCCCTAATATTGCCTCAAATTTCAATTTTCCACAAACTTTTTCCTCTAAGTGGAAACACTTACAAGCATGATCCAATAAAAAAGTTTAGGGTCGGGATTTCGACGTCCAAAAGCTAGGTCGGGTCGGGAAACCGGAAACCCACATATTTTTTTTTTGGCCCAACTTGAGTTGTACTGTGTAAATCAAACACACAACTCACCTACGACAATGTAAGCGTGTTGTTTGATCCTGTAATCCTTAATCTATATAATCTTTGATCCCGTAACCCTTAATCTATATAATCTTTGATCCCGTAACCTTCGTCTATATTGAAAAAATATTACCGTGATAAACAAAGACTAAGAGTACAAATAATAACCCACCTTGATGACGCGAAAACTCAAAAATCTCTTGTTCAACATGATAATCTTATAGTCATCAATAGCGTCATCTGTGACATGTCTACAGAGAGAATATATTTGAGAAGTGACTAATTATGTGACGCAGTGTCAATACCGCCGCCATACACCAAGTATTAATCATGTTTGCATATATTACCTGAGCGCAAGTAATGAATTTCTGTTAGCCAGTACAGCTTGTCTCCACGCGGGATCTCCTTCGTGGGAAATCACGAGATTCTCCTCGTGTGACGCAATCGCCGCGTACAGGATAGAGGGTTCATCATATTCATCTGGGGATGTGAAGTGATCCTGATGGAGTTTGAGGGACATTCGCACTCCAGGTGCAACGACCTTCTTTAAAAGATCCATATCACACAGGACCCACTCATCTTTTTGCGCTGCGATACGAAAATCGCCTTTGAACAAGGCGTGCAGACCATACAAGAACTCTAGACTAAAGAAATAAAAGAATAAATTCACTAAGTCAGGATGCATACTGTTGGGGACGAGCCGGATACTGTCATAACGGATACAGAATAATACCGGATAGTAAAAGCAGGTTAGCTTAATCCTAGATTAACAAAAAGTTTCAAAGCAAACCTCCTAACAACTTGTTTATAAACTTGGAAATATTTTTCCAGAAAACGTATCCGCATTAACAGCAGTTCTATAAGTTTTGAAGTTTTGAAATATACTTCCATGCAAAAATACACAATCCCAAGCAGCAGGTTAAATTTTAACCTAGGGTTAACTTTGAACAACCAATTTCAGATACCACATGGAGAAATAATAACGGGATAGTATACAATAAAAATTTTCGTATTTTCTTCACAACTTAACGTGTTTTCTAGGAATGAGCGATAAATAGTGGCTGTATTCAGAGTAGGTGGCTAGGTGCAGGGTTTGTGGATGGAAATCTTCAATTATTGTTCAATCGAGTGCATGAGATGCCAAGAAAATCTTGTATTCCGAGTAACAACTTCTTACCTGGAAAATTGTTGATGAGCCGCAGTCCCAAGAGCTCGCCGTCCTAGCAAGCTCAACGCAAAGCACAACGTCACCAAGTGAGAAGCTTTGTCGCAAGGAATTTCCTGAAAAATAAGAATTATTAAGCCGTTAAGCTGCAATGCTCTGTTATTGTTGGGTGTTATTGGGTGTTATTATTGGGTGTTATTGTTGGGTGTTATTATTTACACCACATGTCTAACCATTAAAAATGCCCATGTGCAAAATTTTTTTGCATTATTCTCAGTGATGGGAAACCAACTTGTATAAAAAATCCTTTTACATGTATATAGACAAATCAATTTGGAAAAAAGTATTTGCACGCGAGCTCTATAGCGACTTTATATCACTTCAGTGAACATACGTCATTTCTACGTCCCGCGCAGAACATGATCCAATCAGAATACGTGTTATAGAAACTGTTTCTGGAAACTCCTTTTGCCAGCACGTCATAATCCTCATCAATATTTTGATTAAATGCCGACTCCTTTTCAATGAAGTTCTTCTTGTGATACTCAACCAGACCTGTGCGGATATCATCGCTAGTCAGCCAATCAACCAGCTGTGTCGAACGGATTGCATAGAATATGATTGCCTGGAAAAAATGCGAGGTAATTTTACGTACGTTTCACAAAGCACACTGGATCAAACTTCGAACGGAATTAAAATTTATGCAAGCTGAAATCCTCCAATAATTTTTCCAATGGTCGGCCCCTTGGATCACCCAGATAAGGATACGGTCAACCGAATAAGGGAGAAGAGAGATAAGGTTAAATGGTGATAAGATGTATAATTTTAAATGTAGGACGGAAAGGTTTAAAAATAGCCCAATTGTTTTTGCCATAGAAAAATATAATTTGTCAATGGACTGATCTTATACTTTTATGCCCTTTTAATTGGCACAGTTCTTAGTTGTATTTTTATTGTTGTAAATATAAAGTAGTTCGCTGTAGTTGTATTATAAATTTACCTGTAATATAAACTTTTTGTATTCTGATAGTATATATAATTGTTCATTCACATTGCAATTTAGCTTTCAGCTACTTATTGTGAAACGTTTCAATAATAATAATAAAAATAAATTTTAAAAAAATGGAATACACGCTTCCGGAAAGAACGTCACCTTGTCTATGGAGTAATTTAGTAATTTCGTAATTTTGTAATATTAGTAATTTCGTGGTTGAGACATTACACGCTAATGTCACATACACGAAAGCGAGGCTCTATAGCCAAAGTGACATACTTTCCGGAAGGGTGTATTCGACTGGGCTTTGTATTCATCAACGTAAAACCAGAGTAGCGACATGTCTGATATTAAACCTGGTTGCCGTGAAACAATAAACTTCAAATACCTTGACATAGTACGTGATCAATATCTTGCGTAGATCATAGACTTGTAACATAGACGTGGCGCTGTTGTCGCTGATACTGTAACCTTCTATAACGTATTTCACTGATGTTACTTGCCAGGATAACCACCGTTGACCAAAGGCTGCATTGACTGACAACACGCCAGGTAGATGACCAGGTTCGCAACAGCAACAACCTCAATATAATGCAAAGTAAGCGTTAAGCCCTGGGCAAACTAGGAAACATTGTTGTGGAAACATTTGTGATTCTCAATGTTTCCTCAAATGTTTCCCTGTAGGCCCACCCGTGGAAACATTGTTGCGGAAACAAAATTTGCTTCCCGAGAAGCAAAAATGTTTCCTAGCGAATTCAGAAACATTTGATGTTTCCCTATGTTTCTCAATAATATTTCCTAGTGTTTGCCCACTCTGGGAAACATGGCGAAACATTGGCAGGAAACAATGTTTCCACAACAATGTTTCTTAGTTTGCCCAGGGCTTTCTTTACAGAGCGTTGTCAAGGCCGATTTACCACTGCTCAAAACTGTCGCATGCAACCTGCTTACAACTTGAGTTGTACTGCGTGAATCAAGCACACAACTCACTTACATTGTCGTAGGCGCTTACATTTCGTATCGAACTTCCGGTCACTGTAGAAGTTGCCGGATATGATGTTATTCGATGAATTGCAAATTAGTTTGCCTTTGATTTTTTGCTGCTGAAATTCATCATTCGGAAACTTTGAAAGTGAGAAAGTTAATTAAGATGAGGTTTTTTACTATAAAGATACATCACATATCTTCTTCGAACGACACAAATATTACACATACCAAAAATCATATTTTGGACTATTGAACACTTAGATGTCCTCTACAAAATTTCTGCTCTAGACATCCTACCTTTGTCACTCTCGACATCTTCTGTTATGGCTTCAACTTCTCTTTGTTGGCAGTAAGTTCCTGATAAGAAATATCAATCAGTATCACCATTGTTGCTGCTACTGTAGGACATGGCCTTAAGCAATTAATTTTCTGACAAATGAACTACAAAATATTTCGACAATGAAATTGCCCACCTCTAAACTCCAGACCACGAAGTTGAAATGTAACCAGGCCATTTCCAACTTCAATAATATGAACTAAGGCATTGAGATAGTCTGAGGCAAGAACAAAGCAATCACCACTCGACACAGGCCCCCAGCGACCCAGGAGTAGATCACCACACAGGCTGTGCTGTAAGGAGCGAGTCAAATGTTCGTAGAAGATCGAGTTCAAATTGTTGTCGTCGGCACCCGGATTACGATCGAGTTGTGAAGATAAACGAGTGTTTGTATGGTCCACGCGATTTGTGCTGCAAGAAAAAGTATTTCAGAGCCATCAAAATGTGGTACACGATACGAACTATTTTCATATGTATTCAAATATTCAGAGACATGGGCAACTAGCTTTCTTACTTGTAATTTTTCTCCCAGAATTTCACAGGTCTGACGTAAGAACAAATAAATATAGCACTTCCCAGAAATGGGTTGAGCGGCGCAGATATCAAAGACGATAAAATAGATTGGAAAAACATCATAGTGGAATCTAACAGATGTTAATGAAGGAAAAGTTGTATAAATCATAGCTGTTGTGTTTTTATTTGAACACCCTGGTATAACGGTTAATCTAATTAAAACTAAACTAAACATTATATATGCTGGATAGCTCCACCACGTCTGTTATCACTGTACAGGAACAAACTTTAAACTATATACTGTTTAGTTCAAACACTTGTATCTAAGCTCAGCTTGGTAAGTTGTTCTCCTCAGATTTGCAGTACGAGCCATTCTTTATTGGATCAGTTTCACAGTACTACAGGAGACAAGTAAACCGCGTAGCAAAAGCTGCGATGAGTCAAAGTGTAAGTATACTCTCCTCGCATGAAGTGCAATTATAATCAGACAACTTCATGAATCAAACCCTGGGCACAGAGATGGACATGCATTACAAACACTGCGCTATCCATCTCTTTATGAAAATCATTAAAAGGATACGTGGAATACTAAATGGTTGAGCAAAAGCGTGGAAAGCTGATCCCCAGGGAATTTGCCAAGGAGCAATATAACTGAACACGAATCTCAACTTCAGCATCAGCTCGTACACCTAAAGAGACGGAATTTATATTGTCATTATGTTTACTCAGGGTGTCCACCCTTTGGTGAAGGTGAAATTCAAGTACTTTTCCAGGACTTTCAAGGTCCTTTTTCAGTAAATTCAAGGACCTAGAACTGGGAAAAATCTTTGAAAATGGCACGGATATGCCGTAACCAATTCACTTTATTCAGTAATTTTAATCAAAATCACTAATGTTGGCACAGCTGGAGGTTGAGGAAATTAATTCCGGGATACTTTCCAGTCCAGCATCATTTAGATGCGCAATAGAAACTCCGAATTGGCTTATTCAACATAGTATTGTATCCAGTACTAGTTTGAGATCAGTGGTTGGCAACAAACCTTTGTTAGAAATATAGACATGATGAAATAATCAATAGGAAATCCTTCAGAGTACTTCTTGTAGTCGAATTCAAAGAACAAGACTGTCCAGATGACAAATATTGATTGTTTTGAACTGTCTGAGAAAGAGCTACGGATCATCTTTAGACCAATCGTACTGATCAACAATGCACCACCTCTGTAAAAGAAAACACCACAGACATCAATACTTTTGAAAAAATATTAGTTTAAATATATTGGTTTAAATATTGGGATGCATGACTTAAATGCTGGTTTCAAGTACGCATGCAAAAACGCACGAGTTATAACAAACATGCAGCAGATTTGTACCAATGCTGTTCCAACAACTTGTCAACAGGATGTATTCGCATTGCTTGTCCCAGCTTGTAGACACGGACTTGTAGCAACTTGTTGACGGACTTGTAGCAAGGTTATTGGCAACAGATTTGTAGCAAGGTTGTTGGCGACAGGTTTGTAGCAAGCTTATCAACAAGTGTGGTACAAGTTGTTCCAACAACTTGCTACAGGTCTGCAAACCAACAAGTTGTAACAAGCTTGATGATAACAAGCTTGCTACAACTTGACAAAGTAACAAGCTTGTTACAACATGATGTTAAAGGCCATGTAAAGTCCGTAATGTAAACAAACGCTTTGTTTACATTTTGAACTCAGTGCTACAGTTGTAAAATATGATTAGAT